CACGCCCGCGGTGCGACTCGTAAATGAAAGGTGAGCCAGCGGGTCCCGTGTGTTATCATTACCCGTGTCCATGGTCCGGGAGCGCCGCGCCATCACTCAAAATATTAGTCATTTCTCTAGAGCAAATTTTAGAGATGCATTTTTATCTTTTTTGGTATACCATGTTTTTGACTAGGGAGTGTGTAACTGCATATGCCATGGTAGAAACAGGAAATTAAAAGTGTACTGTACATTTAAAGAACGGTCAGAGAATCCTCCACATTTACAAGTGGGTGACGCGCACGATAAAGATGCCTTCAAAAGGAGTCGACTACATACCAGGTGGCTGATTCACCCCCACTCCGCGCAATTTGGCAGTTAAGCTTTCGTATTGCCTCTGGTCACGGGGCCTAGTGCGCGAGTAGGAAACCGGCATAGGTGAACTATGGACATCTGGTGCATGCCACAAAAAAATAGGAGGGTGAAGAGAGAACTAAACAAAGATCAATAAAATTCAGTAAAATGGCGGCAACGTAACACTGATAATTTTCCAGTGACGCGCGGATAAAGAACATGTGGTATTGCGTGCCTTTAGTGCCCACAGCTCACACCGTACGGCTTTCAGGTTCAGGCGCGGGTGCGCGGGTGCACGATGTTATGGTGACACCCGTACCACCGTACCCTGAGCTCCGCACACTAGGTGATATAACTCAGAACAGGGAGCACGATGACTCCGTATTAACCTTTAATTTTGTACCGTGTGGCAAAAATATAATTTATGTGCAAACATTCACTATGAGCACATAACAAGGCAGGTATTTCAAATATAGTCTCAGCCTTCGGCATAGTTACATGCCGCCCCGATGTGATAAGGGATCGTCCCGGCTAGATATAGCACGCCCGTTCGGTTTTTCTCAAATTTATTCGGCACATTATGTGAGCTCAGCGCCTGCGAGACTCGGGGTGGGCCACCCCGCCATACACGCATGCACCGCAGTCGATATATTGCCTACCCTTCAGGCGCTATCAGCGCTCGACTCGACTTGGCAGCTTCGGAACGGCGAATGACGGATGCACATTCTCGATGATGATCGGTCGAAGCGCGCCTGGCCTGGCGCGAGCGTCGGGCCCCCCAAAGCGTTAGGGTTAAGCCCTCCGGGGCCCGCTGACAGCGCCGACAGCATGTCCGGCGCCCGCCGATACAAATCGCCAAATTACACGCCTTTTGCACGGGGCTCCGCACTAGCGCCAGGCGGCGGCGCCGCGGCCGCGTCTGGACGGGCGGGGCGACGCATGGCGTTACGCGCGCGCCTTATCAGATAAGTACGCCAAGTAAGTGGACGTCCTCTGAAAGAGGGCGTGACTCAGGCCGCCCTAAGCCCGCCCCCACTCGGCGCATAGCACCTGCGCGCCCACCGGCCATAGATAAAAAGAACAAAAAAAACAGCAACAGCGCCCCAGTAGAAAAAAATTGCTACGTTTCATTCGTCGCGCCATTTAAAAATGCCAAAGAAAGAAATCTTTACATACCTATCCCAGGCCTTGGCAACGTAACGCGTTTCCACAACAAACGCCCCGCATCATCACCCGTACTAACATTCACTTCATTGCAAATAAAATATTATTTAATGGAATGAAATGTCTGCGTCGTCTGCGCGGAGGCCATACCGAATCATATCTGCCGGGATCATGCGATGTCGTTCCCAGCCGCCAGCCACGCTATATTTCGACAGTAGCGGGGCGGGCGGCGGGGCGCGGAAGCCCACAGTCGCGTCGTGGCCGGACCCGGGCCATTCCGTCCCGTCCCACGCGAAACGCTTTTGCAGCGCGGATGCGGCGGCCGCCAACGCCAGGGAGGACCGGCGCGACAGGCTGATTAAAAACCTCTTTGAACTAAAAGAAGCTCCGGTGGCCGCGCGACCTGCACGGGGGCAGCTTGTTACAAGCAGCAAGGCGGCGACAGCAGCGAGCACAGCAAAAACGAGCAAAAAGAACAATACGAAGTGCTAGCAGGGGAACCATGTCGCCAGTGCCACAAAAAACCAGCGCGCACACGGCGCGAAAAGAGAGAACGTTACCGTTCCCACAGCCACGCGGTCGCTCCTGTGTCTGGGTAGCCTTGAGCGCCGCCCAGGCCCAGGCCCGGTAGGTCGCCTGCAGCGTAGGCCAGCCCGCACAGTCGCGGTGCGCGCGGTCCTGGGGATTGCCTACCCAGCCGGGCTGCCGGCCGGGCGCCCGCAGCATGGGCCAGCCCGCACGGCAGCGGCGCGCGCTGCCCCCAGGGGTTGCCTACCTAGCCAGGCTGCCGGCCCCGGCCGGGCGCCTGCAGCATAGGCCAGCCCGCACGGCAGCGACGCGCGTCGCCCGCAAGGGTTGCCTACCCAGCCGGGCTGCTGGCCGCGCCGCCGCCGGCCGAGCTCGAGGTCTGGGCCACCCTCCACGGCCAGCGCTCCGCTCCGCAGACCATAAACTACGGGGAGCTGATTAGCGAGCGGAGCGGCGCCGGGAGAGCTAACGAGAGGAGGGTTTAAAGGGCCGGTCCCCGCCAACCGAGCAAAATCAAAGGAGAAAAAAATAATCTTGCCGTCATGGATTAACTTGAATTTTTTTGGAATCTTTTGGATCAAAGTCTAGGACAGACGCGCGACCAGTAAGATGTTTAAAATGTGACGGGGTGGCGATAATAAAGCCCTAAGATGAGTCCCTTCCCCTGAGTCTCGTGGGTCTCGCGCGCGTAACCACTCCAGCTCGGCGAGAGCGTGCCGTCAATAACCTGGACGGACGGGTAAATCCCGAGCGCGTCGCCACCGCGACGGCTCCTCCTCTTCACGACGCTTGAGAGGCTCATTCACATTCGAACAGGATTCCAGTTTAATAGCAGGAAAGCACACTCGGGATGAATGAGAGAGAAAAAAATACCCCGGTGGTAAGGTGTGGAGATTGCACGTCACTAAAATATAAATTTGTAGCCAAGACGCACGACGGTGTGCCATGTCAGTGTCAGTGCGTCGAGTCGCGCGGCGGGGCACGGACGGACACACCGCGAGGTGAGTAGCGGAGCCGGAGCGAGCGGTGCGAGGCTCTATGACGAGGGCGTTCGGGAGCTAGGAGAGGTACTCACTATATCCCTTGCGAACAGCCGTAGCAAATGATATTATGTTCCTATAAAGAATTTGGCAGCTTCGCAAGGGTCACAAACAGACAAAAAATTAACAGTTCGTAAATGCTAAGGCCTTGCTTTCGTAATTCCGACGCTATGCCGAAATTCTTCGTCAGCAAATAATAGTGTTCAGGAGGACGCAAAGGTGTCGAGCACTGCGGCAACGCAACGCGGTAGGAAAGGTCAGGCTTATCCGCAGAGGGATTGCCACGCTAGGACACGGAGCTCACGCAAAGGTGCACGGGTGTTGTGGGTTCCGGAGGGGGCGGGGGTATGTCCAGGACTAAAACGGGGTGGGGTCCGGATCGATGAGGGTAGCTGGCAGCGGGTACACCACGCCAGAGTACGAGTCGGGGGCAGGGTCACCCGACCCCGACCGGAACGCCCTGGGCCCTCCTGGACCATGCTCATGCTTAAGGAGCAGGAGCAACGTTACTCGGTTGTAGTACAAAAGGGTGTCAAGCACCTCGCACTGTTAAATCTTTAGAAGCAAATTACATTAGTTTGTAGCTACGAACTACGAAAGCTTTGAAAAACCCTATTCTTCAATTTATCATTAGTTAAGTGGCAGAAAATAATCCTTTGAATCAAAGCTGCCAAATTCATTATTGACAGCTGCTGACGAAATAATTTGTTTTGGAAGGACTCAACAGTGCGCGCTCATCGCTCACGATTATCATTCCATGATAAGTCCGTTTGAAGGAGACCTTGGGTTTAGGGGTTTAGTGGTTCAGTGCAGCGACGGCGCCGCAAAGACTCTGAGGAGCGACGGGGTGAGTCAGCGGCGCCGGCGGGGCCGGTAGAGGCCGCCAGGGGGGAGAGGGAACGGCTATAGGAGTCCTCCAGAAGGACTCTACACCGAGGGTGAGTTATCAGCTGTCCGGGCGGGGCCACCGCGCCGACCAGGTATCCCCCGGGGGAGAACGCCCCCCGTGCTGCTCCCTCCCTCACACTGCAGCTGGACACAGGACGCCCTCCCCTAAGCGTTGGCAACGGGGGGTACACATGCACCGACGGCGACCCCTCACGCCCCGCCTGCAAATGCTCTCAGCCCCTATCGATCGACCCCGGCCCGCCCCCACCCTCCCCCGCGCGCACGCACCCCTTCAAGGAGCGGGGCGGGCCTGGGGCGTGGCGGCAGCGGCGCTTCCGCCTCCCCTCCCCTCTCCTC